ATGCGACACAATTTGACCTTCTATCCGGCTGATTCCACCTTCAAAACATATTTGGTCTAAGAACCTTGACTAAACTCTAATTAATCCAAGTCAAACCGGTTAATAGGGATAAAACTCTATAGTAATTTATTTTTTCAATTTACAAGACTTAAATTCAAAACTGCTTAATGAGAAGTTTATCTGAGTAAATGGTCATTTTGATTCTTGAATTTAAAAAGTATTGTCATATTAGTTACAGGAAATAAAAGAAAATATCAAATAAGTCTTTCAAAATAAAAATTGACAATTACATTAGTTCAAAATTAAATACATGAGTATGTTGAGATACAAACAAGTCTCACATCGATAAAATATAATAAAAAATAACAACTTACACTATTAGAAAAGTGTCATTTTCTTGCGAATTTTTCTGCAAAAAAATATTCGCAGAAATTTTTTGGAAATTTTCTTGCAAAGAAATATTCGCATAAATTTTTTACGAATTTTCCTACAAAAAAATATTCACAGAAATTTTTTGCGAATTTATTTGAGAAAAATAATTTACAGATATTTCTTACAAATTTTGCTACAATTTTAATAATCATAGAAATTTTTTTCCATGGTAAAAATTTGCAGAAAATATTGTAAGAATTTTATTTCGTTTCTTGCAGATTTTCTTGCAAAAATAAATTCGCAAGTAATGTTTACTAAATTGGTAGAAAAATTTTGCAGGTAACTTTTCCTGCGGATTTTCCTACAAATTTTAATCCGTAGGAAAAATAAAAAAAAAATTATTTAAATTTATAAGTTTAATATTTTAAAAAAATTTCAAGTCTCACATCGATTGAAAATAAAGCAATTAAAGAGTATATAAGTTGGGACAATACTTACCTTACAAGTTGATTTGTATGGTTGAGTATTAAACTTATAATCTACAATCTTAAAATTTAAAAGATTATGTATCACATGTTGGAAGCACGGAAATAAATGTTTCGGATGAATTCATTGTGAGCATTTGAAAGTTGAAAAATTATTGATAGAATTTATAGTAATTTCTTAAAAAAATTTTCATAAAAATATTCCTGCAAAATTTCTTGCGAAAAAATTCGCAGGAAACTTCCCTGCGAAATTTTTTTTGCAGGAAACTTTCCTACAAAATTTTTTTTGCAGGAAACTTTCCTGCAAATTTTTTTTTTGCAGGAAACTTTCCTGCAAATTTTTTTCGCAAGAAATTTTGCAGGAAAATTTCCTGCGAATTTTAAAATTCGCAAAAATATATTATCCATGAAGGTATTACCTGCAGATAAAATTTCACAGAAAAATTTGCAGGAACGTTTCTTGCAAAGTTTTCATAAAAATTCGCAGGAAAAGTCGTATGTAATAAAAAAAATTCTAGTAGTGTTATATAGCACAAAGATACTTCAATGTTTGAGAGGCCTTTTGGGTAATTACCAAAAGCAAAACCGTGAGGGCTAAGGCCCAAAGCGGACAATATCTCATCATTGTGGAGTATGTTCGTATAATAACCTTATAAAAATAACTCTTATAAAATATCCCCTCAAACAAATACTATAAAATAACCTGAACTCTGGTATCAGAGCCGCAGGTTGGATTCGATGACAACCAATAACCCTTACAAAAATAATGATAATGATGAGGATTGTTGGGATACAAACAAGTCCCACATTGATACATCGATAAAATATGATAAAAAATAACAACTTATATAGCACAAAGATACTTCAATGATTGAGAAGGCTTTTGGATAATGATCAAATAGCAAAATCGTGAGGTCTAAGGCCCAAAACGGACAATATCTCATCATTGTGGAGTATGTTTGTGTAATAACCTTATAAAAATAACTCTTATAAAATATTCTCTCAAACAAATACTATAAAATAACCTCAACAGAGTAAAGTGATAATATGTATATAGAGAGAAAGGATTCACTTATTATAATTCAATAACTTGTTTTATATCAAGTTTCAATGATCCAACCTTTAAATTAAAAGTTATTAAAATATAAATTCATTCTACAAATTTTTAAAAAAATTGGAAATATTTGATATTTCATTTTATCGATTCAAATTTACGGATAATCATAAAAATATTTTATACATTAATTTAAATCAATATAACAAAGTATCATATAACTTTCAAAAATTTTATAAGTTTGTAAACTTTATTTATGTATTAAGAACTTTAAACTCAATAGTTTGATTATTGAAATTTGATATCCAACATAAATTTTAGAGTGGAATATGTGTGTATGTGTGTATGTTTGTGTCTACGTGTTTAAGAACTAAAACGATAATAAATAGTTAAATTTAGAAACATATTTAACATCCTAAATACTTATTTGATATTTTTTAGTTTCAGAAACTAATATAATAGTACTCACAACTATTAAATAACCAAAATAACTAATTACTTAAAAAAATGCGCATATATATATATATATATATATATATATATATATATATAAAGACACATTGAAGTTTCAAAAACCAGCCAGTGATTCAGTGTTGGAATATTGTCTTCGTATAAAAGTCTAGATTGAATTATCTGTCTCTATGTTTG